CAGCAGAAAAAAACACAAAAACATCACCTATTCAAACATCCATAGCTTTATTTTGATTTCTTACATAATCATACTATCCTTGATTTGTCAGTGAAATCTTATTACATTATTTTTACTTCATCACACACAGTCAAAAATTGTAACTGGGTCCTGATCCTCGCGATAATAACCCTCCCGTGATTTCATCTCGGTCGGTTCTATTATTCTCGCTCGGATCTCAATGTGTCACAACGATGAAGTAATTATGGGAACAAGAAGAGAATCGTTGTGATGTGGTTGTGTTCTTCTATTTTTTCCTTCTTTCTTTATTTCGTTCTTTTTTTTTTTTTTTTTTTTTTTTTTTAAATCCCATTTTAAGAGACGTGCCAATTTGTGTGGTGTCAATTGATCTTAAATAGAGTAAGACTGCCTTCGATAGCCATCCTCCAATTGCCATTATCTGGGAAAGTGTAAGCCCTGCCTTCATAGCTGCAGTTGCTCCTCCGATTCGGAGGCTATGGCTCGCATATTTCCCTTTGAGGTTAGCATGATTTGCAACCCTCTTTACAATAGCACTAACAGCCCCTACACTCAATTTATTCCCTGTAGATGATGGGAATGCATAATTGCTTCTGAAATCCTTTCTAACGCTCATATAATATTTCTATAAATGTACTGGACAATATTTTGAATCCACAGATTCGATAGGAATAAATTTCCCTTCACCATGTTGATCTGTTTTTGATCGGTTTATTCGAATCCACAAAAGATCATTCTCCTCTTTAAAGTCTTCCAAAGTGAGATTGGTTAATTCTCCAGCTCTTCTCATTGTTCGGATTCCTATCGCAATTAAAGCACAGTCCCAGGCCCATAATAGCTTATTCATTTTCACTGGAGGTTTGTTTATAAAGTTTTTCAGAGCTGAAATTGGTAGAGGATCTCGTGGCCATTTTGCTTTCCGATCTAAGGCTGCTGCTTTTGTAAGTAACTTGGCTAATTTTCTTACTTTCCAATTTTGTGTAGGATCTGGAAAATCATTCATTTCATGTTGATTCGCAATTTCCGTAAGAATCAAAGATGGTTGATTTGATTTTTTATAAAAATCAGACCAAATTAAATAAGCCAAGATACTGTTTGTTAATGCTGGTAGGTAAGGTAATTCATTTGCTTGACAAAATTTTAGATAGTTGTTCCATAGTTTTAAAAGTTTCCGTTTGTAGCTGGATTTAGGTTCTAATAGATCATAAGTATTTGTAAGAAGTTTATTTAAAAAAGTATTTTTACAGCCATGAATTTCCATTTTGGATTGTTCCAAGGTTCCACTTTTCCATTTAGGCTCGGTTGAAATATTATTTTTGAATCTGGAAGCATGAATTCTAGGTGTTGTGTTGCTATCAAGATTGGCCACCATGGAGCTGATACCCATATTGGAATTATCACTGTAAATATTGCCCGGCATTCTAAAATATGATGAAAAACCCGATCTAGCAAGCCTAATGGAGCGCAAATATAATTTGTTTCTTCTTTCCAATTTTGTATGAAACAATCCACAGCTTCTGCTGTTGGGCAGTACCAATAGGAATTGAAACATTTCAAATGTGTTGATATTTCGCTGGCTATATGATCTATAGAGTGAGGACCCCAAATTTCGTCCAATTGTTCAAAAACTTCCTTTTTTAGTCGCCAATTTGATTCATCAAAATGTCTTGTTAATGTATCTGCTGGGTTTTCTTGACTTGGTATCCAACGAAATTCGTAAATCCAAATATCCATTTTGTCACAAAAATCCCAAATTTTTTGCATATGATCTTTTTGCCATGATGTTTTCCCTCCCATTTCCAATGTTCTTCTTGCAACTTTGTTGTCGATAAATATTGTTATCCAATGGTGTGCTAAGTCCTTTTTGAAAGATTTTAGCTCCAATAAAGCAGCTTCCAATTCCAATTTTGCTATTTGGGTGTAATGATATTTTTGATTCCAATTCCCAAAGGCCTTTTTGTTTAGTAAAGTCGCTGACCAACCTGTTGTTCAAGCATCTACAAAAAGAGGTAGTATTCGGGATGGTTTTCATGCAGGCCGACCATTCTTTATTTTTAAATTTTTGATAAGCCATTCGATATCTAATCTTGCTTGATTTGATAGATATACTTCTTTGTCCCATTCCCAAGGCTTCTGGTTCACTGAATCTATTATTGTGTAAAATTCTAAACATCGTACTTTTGCTGGTGCAAATGCTCTGCTTAGACTCATCAATGTTCCCGTTACTGAAGCTAAGTATCGAACTAATATTTTCTTCATTTGGATTAAGTTTCTTAATGCTTGTATTGCAGCCATTAATTTTTCATCTGGTATAATTACTGAAGCCTTTACTGTGTCTAAAATTAGACCATAAAATTTTGGAGTTTGTGTAGGTTCCCAATGTCTTTTTTTGGCTAGAACAAATCCTCCATAAGTTAGGTCTTTTATTATTATGGTATCTCTTATTTTTATTAATTCCTCCCGATTTGAATGTGCTATCCAAATGTCGTCGACGTGATTGCCACAAAATATTCCTTTTGATCTCCAATGCCCTATTAATGCACACATAATTTTTGAAAAAATCCATACTGCTTGACTTAAACCGAAAGGTAAAACCCGGTAATGGAACCAATTTTCTTTATAATGGAAACCCAGTAATTTTTGTGCTTCCCTTGTCATTAATACATGATGATAGCCCTCTTTCAGGTCCAATACAATTACCCACCAATTTTTTCCCACAGTGCGGATAAATGTATTTAGTCCTTCGAAACGAAAGGTTTTCTCTGGTAGTGTTTTGTTGAGTCTCCTGAGGTCTACTATTAATCTCCACTTTTTCAAACCTTTTTTGGGGCGCAAGAATATTGGACTTACTTCCATTAAAAAATCGGGTCTTAAGGATCCTGTACCTATTTTCTAAATTGCTTCTTCGTTTTCTAATCGAACAAGTTCTGTTATTAACCATTTTTCTTGTTCCTGTGTTATTGAGTATTGTTTCGGTTCCTTTAAAGATGCCAGATAAAGTAATCCTTTTGGAAATAATGGTACTCCTCGCTCTAACCAACTCAAAACTATTGCTGATGGCTTTATCTCTTCTCTCCAAAATTTTATTGTTTCTGGTTTGTTTAAATTTCCAATTACTGATCGTGTAGAATCCCGAGCATAGTCAACTGGTATATTTGCAATAAGATGTTTGATTTGTACGCTTATAACTTTGTGGTGATTTTGCTCTAATAGCACTTTTGTCTGATTTAGATGAGGAGCAGCTGTTTGCATAATGTTCGATTCTGCCACAGTTGTAGCAAATGATCTTTCCTTTCTCTTCTCTATCTTCAAATTTCGATTCTGTCTTAAATTTAATTCTGTCATACTGTTTCTCATTATTTCCATTCCGAAAAAACTGTTTCTCTTCTAAATACTTCCGTTTACTACTCTTTTTAAGCGATGCTGATTGTTTTGCTTTTTCAATCACTTCTGAATATTCAAACATAGTTTTATTTTTAGATTGTGGTAATTCAGCAGCTACGTCCCAACCATATTCGCTTGCAACATTTAAAACAACCATTCTTTCTTTTGATATTGTGCGTGCATTTTCAACATATTGTAAAGCTTCGGTTCCAGAAGTTGTATTTAGCGCTAGATCCAATTCCTGACCAATTGACCGCAAAGTATTGTATTCATGTTGATCACGTAATTTCTCAAATTTTCTGTCTGGCCAGGTATCTCTGATTGTGGTTTTGATATTCGTTGTCTCAACTTTTTTCTCCACATTTTTTATATCTTTCCTGAGATATTTAATCTCTTTTAAAAGAACTTTCAATTCATTTGTATCACCTTCTTTTGTTTTCAATCGTTTGGCACTGTTTCTGGTTGAATTTGAACTTGTTTTTACATTTTCATCATTATCACTTTCACACGAAGGTTCGGAAGTTGAATTTTCA